GGTATTTTGGAAGTTGGTATCGTTGGGAATCGCCGTGGGAAGCCCTTCAAAAGCAGGCCGACTCGCAGCGTCCATGAGTAATGGTCACCCTGACGCAGGCGTAGGAGTAGTGTTCCCTGGATGTGGTACGCTAATGGCGCATCAGCTAGTAGCTACACGCTTCTAGCTTCTATCAGGCGAGAGTTGTATTCTCACGAATAGGAGGCCCATGAACATGTACCGATGAAATCGCAATCGACAGCATACAGGGTTTAAAGGCTGTGACAAACACAAGAAGCGTAAATGGAGATAGTATACTAAGGTGGAGATGTGTAGAAGCGGTTCGCTTCACTAGAGCAGAGTAACTAGGAATAGTGAGTGGTCATCCCAGTGGGTTTCCTGGCAGTGGACCACAACCCAGCAGTGAAAACAGGCAATCGGATTATGCCTCCTTCCGCTGCATCAGACGATATACCCAAAGCCCTATCACTTTCACAGTGACTGGAGGATTCTTGCAGCTTCCTGAAATATGTGTCGGTAACAGTCCACACACATATAGACCATTGATAGGATTTGTAGTCTCAATATGTCGAGATGGGCAGAGTGCTTGTCAATGCAGACTGAGAAGTGATGACTGGATAAACATAACCCGCAACTAATAGCTTAATCCAGGCAGGAATAGGGAGTGAATGCATACATGCTGTTTTGAATTTTGCCTTCCTGTGGTCCTACTACCGCCGAATATCGGTCGGGTCGTTTGGCTGGTTATCGCGATTATATTATATGCTGAAGGGAAAACCCATGAAAGCGGCACTTTCCAAAGTCGATAGAAGCGCCAGCGTCTCCGCAACAATCCTGCCAACAAGAGGCTGTGTCCAGACTGTTCAATGTTTTGTACTGGCCACCAAATTCAGATTGTGTTTGAGATCATGATCTGAATGAGCCAACGATGTAATGAAGACACCACGAAGCAAGCGAGCAGGTGTGAGACAGTAATCGGGGAGAAGCAGGAATCCAAAACAGGAAACCCAAATGGCAGCTGAAGCTTAACGCCGATGGATTCCCGGTCTCTCCTTAGTCGGACCAACTCCCAGCCGGGCCTGAATTCTGGGTTCTTGGGTTCCCAGTGAAGTTGGACCAAAACCTCATCGAAACGCAAGAGGCTGGAGGGGAAGGAAGTCAAAACAAGAGAAGCTTGGAATCACTGGAAGACCAGGCGCACAGGCAATATGGAAGCTTTCTAGAACGACAGCAACAACGGATACGAAGGGGTAGAATGAATTATGGAAGGAATTGCAAACAGGCTGACAACGAGCAGTAGCACTTCGGGGACCAGATCACCGATCCAATCGGACTGGAAGGCTAGCTGCAGGGTAGATGGTAGTAGTAGGAGAGGAGGAGAGTGAGAGAGACACGGAGAGAAGAGGCTACAAGATGGAGGACAAGCTTCCGAGAGTCTCACAAGAATAGGGAGGGAGAAAAAAAGGGAGGAGAGCAGAGGAGAGAAAGAGAAGAAGGAGAGAGAGAGGTAGGTTGGATTGGGAGGGTGTCAGTGAGAGGTTGAAGAAAGAGACAGTCAGTGTCACCGTCGGACCCCGCAAGACACGGCGATCCGTTGGATCCATTCCTGGAAAGCAATCGGGGACTGGTCAAGTGATATTTAGAGGAAAGGAAAAAAAAAAAGTTAGTTGAGGGATTGGTTGGTTGGTTGGTTTGAATGGTACTTTGTACCTTGTCGAGACGATTGGCATTAAGGATACTACTACAATGTCTTGCCAAGGGTTGTTGATCCAATAGCCAGTCAAAGAAGCTGTTCGGACTTGGACTTGGACGAAACAAGAGGCTACTCCGGCGTTCAGTCCCCGACTTTTCCTTTGTTTGACCATCCATCATCGGAGGTATCCCTAACCGATTAATTGATTAATCGATCAATCGATCCCTCCATCCATTCATCCTTGTTTGTCTTTGGGAGGATCGGAGGAGCCACCGCGTCTAGACTTTTGGCCCGATGAGGGCAGTTCGGACACTGCGGAAACAAGCTGCGAAGCCGACGACGTCATGCTCTTCTTCTCCGTCTCTCCCCTGAACACTTTCCCCCCCATGTTCCCTTCAATAATCCATCCCATTAGCTCCAATAGCTTCAATAGCTCCCACGACCACGGTGCTATCACTGAAAGAAGACTCTTAATATAAGGCGCACGTCTACATCGACTTTTACATGACTTCAACGCTCTCCGATTAACGTTAAGCGCCCGTCCCTCTTCCTCCGCCCGTTCCACACCTCGGCTCGGTTCATGACGCCCGCCCGGTGGCTATCGGCGTCTGTGCGACATACGCGACCAGCTCTCCTCCTTCGCTGCCTGCCTTTGACCCTCACAATGTCCTTCTCCACCTTTACCATTCCTCGCAATCTGGACCACAATGGCTCGGCCACTCTACCCGTCTCCTGTCCAGCAGACCTGTCTCGTGAAGATCTGCTGCGATTCCCAGCTTTCCGTATCTGGCTCACCACCTTGCAACACTCCTTGAGTCGCCAGCAACAACCCTCCCACGAGTTCTCCAAAGACCCCTATGTCCTGCGGAAAATCGATATCCAGAGCGTGGACCGCTTCGGTGGTGGCCGTCTAGGCTTCTTAAAGTTCAAAGCGGAGGTGTCAAATGAGAATGGGGAGACGCTCCCGGGAAGCGTGTTCTTGCGCGGTGGCAGCGTAGGCATGCTGGTAAGCGAGCTACCTCTGTTTATCGCCCACTGACAACATTGAGACATAACCTAATGCTGCTTCTCTGTTTAGCTCATACTTCAAGCAGACGATGTGCCTCCATCGGCAGAAGACGAGAAGCGTGCCATTTTAACCATCCAACCTCGTATCCCCGCGGGTTCTCTTGCGTTCCCCGAAATTCCAGCCGGCATGCTTGATGACAGTGGATCGTTCGCTGGTGGTGCAGCAAAGGAGATTCAAGAGGAGACAGGCTTGACAATACCACAGGAGGAGCTAATTGACATGACATCGCTGGCTCTGCAGTCCGTGCCAGAAGAGGGCGAGACGTTGCAAAAGGCAGTATACCCGTCGGCCGGTGGGAGCGACGAGTTTATTCCCTTGTTCTTATGTCAGAAGCGCGTGTCGCGCAAGGAAATTGACGGCCTGCAAGGACGACTAACTGGGTTACGGCAACATGGTGAGAAGATCACGTTGAAGGTAGTACCGTTGCGCGATCTATGGAAAGAGGGTCTGCGGGATGGGAAGACCCTTGCCGCGTGGGCTCTATACAAAGGCCTCAAGGAGGAAGGGCTGCTGTAGGGGATTTTCACATTCCGCAGCTGTTTGTGGGCTCTGATACAGGAAGCAGTGACACTCCCACCAATGTAAATATATCGCATTCGACAGTATATCGACTCTAACGGCAATGCCGTCATAATACGATGGCATATGCAGATCCATGGTACGAGACGAAGACGGAGCCAAAGCTGAAACATCTACATACAGCTCAAAGCTTGAATCTCTTCGCAAGTTCGATTCCCTCAGCTATTGTGCCCACCCGAGCATCAATAGCATATCCCTCCCGCTCCAGCTTCTTCATGTCCTCAAATAACGAAGACAAAGGCACGGAGAAGCACTCAATGAACTCATTGTCTTCAAGCTGGGGCTTTGGGTTCTGGTTCTCCGGCAACGACATATCCACCCGGACATGCACCATATTGAGGTTGGTATTGCAGAACCCAGGGTCTGTAAACACTCGTCAGTCAATACCCAAACAATCCAACTTGAACCCATGCTCAAGTGGTACTGTAGTCTAGTCTAATCCGAAGAGGGAAAAAGAAAAGAAAGTAAAAAACTCACCATTATACATAACACTACTAGTCTGCTCCGCCACACCAACGTAACCCGTCTCCTCCTTAAGCTCCCGCACAGCGCACTCCTCCACCGTCTCATTAGGATCAATCAACCCCGCGGGCACCTCAATGACCACCTTATCGATAGGTGGACGGTACTGCTTTTGCAGGAGAAGTTCTGGCCCGGTTTCCTTGTTGAGGATTGTCACGATTCCAACGCCGTCAATCTCGCAGTTTGCGGGGCGGGTCTTGAAGCAATTAGCAAGCATACATCGCAGAACTAATACTTCATCCCCCAAAGAAAGAATGCTTCAATTGGAGACCACCAGCAGAAAGCCCAATAAGATGAAAGTTGCAGGGAGGAAAGTAATTCGTACCTGACGCTCCGCAGACTCCCACGTCCTCTCAACACCATTAGGATCCGTATACGACGACATGACCAGTCGAGTCCATTTGGCTTCTTTTGGGTCCTAAGAATACTTCCCGTTAGTAACGATTCATTCTTCATATATCAATTCCCATATATAACACTATAAATTATATTAATCATCATCAATATGTACTATACATACCAACGGACCCCTCGAAAGCAACTTCGACCCGGCGTATTTGGGATCGGACATTTTGCACTTCTACAAGCAGAGGGTGGAGGGAATAAATTGGTGGGAGGGGTATCGGATGGAGCGGGTCTATGTCTAATGGGTTTATATGGAGAAGGTGAAAAAGATTAATGATTGTAGAGGTAGGTAGAGAGTAAACAACTGGACTGACGTAGCAGGAGGGGAAACTAAGCTGGTCAACTGAGGGGGTCACCAACCGGATTGGGTTAGAGGGCTAGCCCTTATCTTATCGTGTTGGGGAGCTGGATTTGGATCTGGATTGAGAGGTTGGGGTTGGGGTATCTGGATTATTTTGAAAAGGGGTTGGGAGGGGTAGGAGGAGGTTACTGGTATATGGGAGAATAGATTGTGTGAAAGTGTAGTGGTTGTAGTGGCAGGCAGGTTTATGTGTGTGTGTGTTGTGGTGGTTGTAGTTGTTTGAGGAGCATCGATGCTGGATGTAGATAGTAGTCATCTGGTTGGACTACTATTGCAGGATGGCAACTTGAAGTTAGTTTAGGAGCAGCGTTGGTCGATCATATAAACATTAATACGTATAAGCACAGTAGTGTTCATAGGAAGAATAATATGTCTGGTTCAATATATTCTGCATTGAAGTAGCTACTCAGAGGAAAACTAACTTCCAGCTTAGATTGGTCCATCCGTCACGCACCCATGACTTGCGTCGCTCACCAGCTTCGCATACTTGCTTAATGTCCCCTTCTTCGCCCGAGGCGCCGGTGCCGTCCAAGCAACTCTTCTCTTTTCCATCTCTTCCGGGGTAATCAGCAAGTCAACCACTCTTTGCTCCGCATCAATCACGATTCGATCGCCATCCTTCACCAGGGCGATGGGCCCGCCCTCCATAGCCTCAGGCACAACATGCCCGATCAAGAAGCCATGACTACCTCCAGAGAATCTCCCATCAGTGAGGAGCGCAACGTCCTGACCTAATCCGGCACCCATGATGGCTGAGCTGGGCTTGAGCATCTCAGGCATACCGGGACCACCCTTGGGTCCTTCGTATCGAATAATGACGACGGTTTTCTCGCCCTTTTTGATCTCACCTCGTTCGAGGGCCTCGATGAAAGCATCCTCATAGTCGTAGCATTTGGCGATACCTTCAAACCGAAGACCTTCTTTGCCGGTGATCTTGCCAACAGAGCCGCCAGGGGCCAATGACCCACGGAGGATCTGCAAGTGGCCGGTTGGCTTGATAGGATTGCTTAGGGGACGGATGATAGGCTGGTCAGGTGAGAACTCGGGCCATGAGGCTACATTCTCTTTCATGGCTTTGCCAGTGACAGTGATTCCGGAGCCGTCGATAAGGCCTTCCTTGAGCAGGAACTTCAGCAATGCTGGCGTGCCCCCGACCTTGTACAGGTCATGCATGACATACTTGCCGGAAGGCTTCAGGTCAGCCAAGAAAGGTGTCTTGTCTGACACGGCCTGGAAGTCATCGATGGTCAACTTGATCCCGACGGAATCAGCGATGGCGATCAAGTGCAGTACTGCATTAGTACTGCCTCCGAGAATGTTCACGACAATCATGGCATTCTCAAAGGCCTGCCGCGTCATGACGTCCTTGGGCCGAATATCCTCCTTCAGCAGATTCCTCACTGTCTGGCCAATATCCTCACACTCTGCTCGCTTACGTGGATCCTCTGCCGGCGTGCTGCTACTTCCAGGGACAGTCATACCGAGGGTCTCGATAGCCGTGGCTAGAGTATTGGCAGTATACATCCCCCCACAAGCACCAGCACCGGGGCAAGCGTGTCGGATGATATCAAACCGTTCCTTCTCGTCGATCTCACCAGTGAGATACTGACCATACGACTGAAAGGCGCTGACCAGGTCAAGTGGCTTGCCCCCCGCACTGCAGCCGGGCTTGATACTACCACCATACACCATGATACTCGGGCGGTTGACCCTGCCCATAGCCATCAGCACACCTGGCATGTTTTTATCACAGCCAGGCAACGAGATATTAGCATCGTACCACTGGGCGTTCATGACCGTTTCAATTCCATCGGCAATGATCTCTCGGCTCTGTAAACTGAAACGCATGCCAGATGTGCCCATACTAATGCCATCAGAGGCACCGATGGAGTTGAAGCGCATGGGGACCAGGCCGGCTTTGGCTACCGAGTCACGGACCAGCGACGACAAATCCATCAAGTGCATATTACAGGGGTTCCCTTCAAACCACACTGATGAGATTCCAACCTGTGCCTTGGACATATCTTTCTCCGTCAGACCGGTCGCGTAAAGCATCGCCTGAGATGCACCCTGGGACTTGGGCTGTGTGATCTTAGAGGAGACTTTGTTCAGTGTTTCGTCGGCATAACGGTGTGCGGATGAGGAGAGAAGACGACTGTATTGACATGACACGATTCACCGTTAGCATCATGGGTATTTGTACGAACTGTAGGGTATACGAACGAGGATGGTTTTCTTTGTGATGGCATCCGTCGACCAAACGCCAGAGCTCTGGCAGCTCGGGATGGAGTGGTAGATGTGATCATTTTCTAGCCTGTAAAACACACTAGAAAGAATACAGGACTTGCTCTTTCAGGGGGTATGAGTGAGCCAGACGAAGCTGCAGGTCAGGTTATATAGTCTCAGGGGCCTTCAAAATCACTGGCCAAGAGTGGTCATAGTTCAAGTGAGTCATTATACCCCTGTAATATCTGAAATATCAGCCATTACTTGCTTCGCCCATGTCTCCAGGTAGCACAGAGCTATTACAAAGTAGAAACAGCGGACTTGCGAAGAATCATGGTCATTGGACGGAGAAGGACAGGAACCACCTTGTTCTACTCCGCAATGGTCGAAGGATCGAATGGTTGCATGGGCGCATCTCCAATCAAGACGCAGATAATGCAGCCGATTATCCGAATGCCAGACACTCATGTATGTCCGGCAAGAAATAAGCAGGGTATGAGTCTGGGGATAAGCAATAAAGTGATGGTCGAGGTCGTCTACAGATCCTTTGAGGCGATCCAGGCCCACCCGGCCGGAGTCGAGTCGCAGCTCCCCGGGTGGATACTCATCCCTGCGATCACTCATAACAGTTCCGTAGGTTGCTACTATGAACTGTGTTTACGTTGGGGTGCTTGAGTTTTGAGAATATACTCTGAAATAGGATTTCTACCAATGTTGTTTTACTTGAAGGAATACAGTAATAGATAAGCTCTATTTCATTGTGCAGGCAGCAGGCGCCCAGAGAAGTACCTAAATCCATGATTACCTCTCTATTAAAGACATTGAGTAACAATGTAGATATCCCGGTCTTGAAGCGACTTATGCAGATGATACAGATAAGCCACATGGGTTATCAGACGACACCTCCCCAACAAGGTGAGTGATTGTGTTCTGCGCGATGGACTAAGGTAACAAAGTCGGTCGTGTAGAGGACCTGAGGCATAGACGTCTGAGATGTTACCATGTGAATAGAAGGAAGTGACCCAAAACCCCGGAACGGCCAGCGCGCTTGCTATCGTAACTTCGTGCTCATAATCGTAACTGGCGTACAAAACGGCCCCATCTGCTAGAGATTCAGGACTCCTCGATTTCTCGGAGACATTTCTGGAATTCGCTCCAATCCTTCATGATAACCTTGGCACCCAGCCCTTGCAAAAGTTGGGACATTTCCAACTGCTTAGCGTCACCGTGGTAGCTTCCAACATAACCAATGACTGGGATTCCAGCACGAATGGCACTAAGTGCACCAGACTTGCTGTCCTCGACAGCGACCACCTCTTCAGGCTTCTTCTTGCGCACTTCGAGGGCATGGATGTAGATAGCCGGATCCGGCTTCGAAGTTGGCTTGGGAAGAGAGGTGGCTGCGCTGAACACGGCATCTTTGTCGAAATACTTGTCCTGTCCGACCTTCGTGATCGAAGCACGGACACGGCGCAAAGCAGACGAAGAGACCACTGCTAGACCATACTTCTTGGACTTGAGAAGCTCGTCAAGTTCAGCGTTAACACCCACGCATGGCTGAGCTTTGTCAGTCAGCTTAGCGATGACCTTGTCCTCCTCCTTCTTCACGTATTCCTCGAGTTCCTCCTGTGACAACTCGAACTTGTACTTGGCCTGGAGGGAGACCATCATTCCTCGAAAGTTCTGACCCACAAAATCTTGGATAAGCTGCTCTCCCGTGTAGCGATCCGAGATGCCCTGCTTTTCCAAAATTTCATTGGCGAGATCGGCACACGCCTCGAAGGCCAGCTCTTCCGAGAGGACGAGGGTGTTGTCACAGTCGAAGAAGATCTCAGTAATCTACAATGAAGGTTCGTAAGCACATTATGTTCATGCCAACATCGCATGAAGAATTGATAGCTTACCTGCGGCATGATGTATGCAAGTCTAGTAGATCTTTTCTGAATTGAGATCAAGAATGTTGCACAGCAATGACAGTAGAGGAACGTTTATGGAACGAAGCGAGATAGAAGCCGGGGTGGGGATCGATGTAAGGTGGAAGAGGATATGACAGGAAAGGGGACCGTTGTCTTTTTCTAATTTGTAGAGGAAGGAAGGACACGAGAGGTCTGTGGGTAAGTTATCTGAGAAAAGTGACAGAAGAAGAGGGGCAGAGACGAAGGCATTCACTTTGTTTAAGTAGTATTGGAAGGGACCAATACAAAGGAAGCCAGCGGGTGAAAGGGGTACCTAGTAGTTATGGGGGACTCAGCCACGGAATGAGTAGGCTTGAACCCACTGCCCGTAATAGAGATCCAGTAGAACCGAAGAATGACTAGAAACCCCCGAGGGAATCCCCAATTCCTGTTGTACACAGTCCCGGTATCCAAGGTAGGAGCGGGGTGCCGGCCCTGACTTCCCTGAGATCATACATTTGAAAAAACACCCATGACGTTATCAAAAGGCCGAATTCTAGTACTAGTGAAAGATGCTAACCCGATTCAGGCAAGCACCCGCTGCCATTCGTCGTTCGAATCGCGCTCGGATGCCCCTCTTCCTTTCCTGTTGAGGCATAGCGGTATCACCCCATGGAAAGGCACCGAATCCTCTCTGCCCATTCTTGTCGCCTTCAATTTCCGGTTCCTTTTCTGTCGACGCCTCAAAAGCCCAATGATGAAGCGCAGAGCCAATCGATAGGATTCCATGGCATGTTTATCGACATCCCAAGTGCTGGGGGCGCCATATTGCAGATGTGGAACCGTTTTGTTCCTCTACTTTCTTTGCTATTCACAACGATTCTTTCCCCTGTCAAGTAGGCAAGATGTATCGGCAGAAGTGAGAGAGTTTTGTGCTCCATACCGTTTGTTACCAAACTTCATTTACTACCCAGTACCGTATCATGCTAGGTAACCTTTCATACCCGTCAGTCACCGGGTGTGCTCATGCGAGGGGGGTATACTCGGTTACAGTCTTCCTTAGAATAATGCCTGGAACCTCGTCCGTTGACTTTGTACATCTCCCGGAGCACAGTAATCCATTCAGCTACTGCTAGGCCAGTTTGTTTCCTGCCTGGACTGAGCAATAATACGTCGCCAAGGATCGGACCACGCATAATTCTCTGTACGCCAGGGCATTACCCGGGTACCCTCAATAATACTAAGTTGTAGTAAGATAGATACCCCATGCGGTCGGATGAAACCGTGCCATGAGGGAATCTTCGTATACTAATGCAACTGTTCAAGCCAGTTGTTGCGAAGACGGGACGATGAAATTCGAATACAATACTCGAGAGTGCTCGGGCTTCATCCGTCATGAGTAAGATATCTACTATCAATGACTGCAGCTAGTTAGAAAAACTCCGAAACTATAGCCGACAAGACATAGTATTGTTTACTACCACATGTTCCTGGAATCATCCTCCTAAGCATGTAAGTAGTCCCCCCCCTGTAGGTACCATCGATGGCTGTGCTCCACCCCGCGTGAGGATGGCGTTCGACTTGTCGGCACCGGCCTTAAATGTGGGCCGATCGTTGGCCGGCGAGGAAATTCTAATGGCGCTTGCATTAGAGCCCCTCATTATTATCGATCGCATTTGATCCCATTATTCTCATTACCACTGGGGAAGTCAAAGCCTAGTGTGATATTGTTTCCTGCTTCCCGAGGCATACTGTAACCAGATTCGTGAATTTCACGTACCATTGTCTGATTCCACTGCGAATACGACCCGACAGCTGGCCCTCAAGCCAATACAAAGCACTCCGGGCAACATGGGATCTGCTTCTGGTTCCGATCCCTACCCCGTGTCTATTTCGTCCCTTCACTTCCCCTCCGCAGAGCAACAATCGATTTCTCAGACGCTATCTGCATTACGACGATCAGCTCTCTCCGTCACCAACCGCCTGCGTTCCATCGAGGCCGACGCGGCCTTTGTCCGTGAGGTTGCAGCCCATTACGACCTTCCTCTCATCGCCAACGAAAGATGCGGGAGCTGGTACATCCCGCCTGAAGTCAAGTCTGGCAGTGCGTACTTCAAGAGTACAGATGGTCACACGGGCCAGTGGGATTTCAGCTTTCGCAGACTAAACTTGCAGCTTCTACCAATTGCCAGGGAACATGGAGGGTCAGTGATCCTGTCATCCATCTTTTCCTGCCATCCCTGCTGATCGTTCTGCTTCGGGCTAACTGAATGGCTGACCCTTATTCGTTGATACAGTTGCATTATCGTGGATTCCACGCGCCGGGGTAAATGTAAGTAACCAGTTACCCCCTCAATGTCATTCGTGCACCGATTAACGAGGTATGCGCCAGTGATGCCTGATGCGCTGTCTAAAACTGTTCCAATTTGGTGTGCCGTCATCAACAGGGCGCTATTTCCATTTGACACTGCATATCACGCGGTGAACTTTCCGCCAAATTATCTGGGCGCCTCTGAAGAGTCCCAGATTGAGCGGAGGATTGACGGCTTCGTCAAATCCCTCGAGGTAACTCATTCTCTGCTGTGAAATGACCCATAACTCCCATGTGTGCTGATAGGCTGCTAGGACCTGAAACTCGATCTGGGGGAACTCAAGCAGCAACTTGGAAAGCCTATTCGGGTAGCATGGGCCAACCGAGCCTATTTTCATCCGACAGATCTGCATAAAGGGGATGACTATCGCCTGTTTGTTCTCTGTTCCGCATCGAAAAGGGTCCATGGCGCAGAAATGTCTGAAGGCGGCTATATCCAAGGAGCAGGAGATGACAGCGAGAGTTGGGCCTATGGGCTAACGCCTCCTGTCTTTTGGGCTACTAAAGCGACCCTGTTCCAGCACTCGGAAGAAGATCTCCCGACCGTAATCGAGCAGCTGGTTGAGGATCACAGTAAAAAGAATGTTGATCAGAGAGCGATACGCATTGCGCCAACACGAAACTTATATCTCAGTCAAACACACCCTCAACTGAACAACGGCAGCATGTTTGATCTGGTCATAGATTGTAATGCGAGCGCAGAAGGGGCAGAAGATAATGCGAATCGCCTGAATCTCGGTTGCGGATCTTCTAAGCTTGGAAGCCGTGACCTGCGCAAACACCTGGACAAGGTCCAGGACTTCGTCAAGTCCCGTATGAGCGCAGACCCATCACGGTCATTGCTGGTGACATGTGAGACGGGCAAGGATCTTTCGGTTGGTGCTCTACTTGCAATATTGTGTCTGTTCTATAACGAGGAAGGTAAGTCTCTCGTCGATCTGTCAACCCGTCTTGTCTATTCTATAAGGTGTCTCTACAGTACTAATAATACACTAGGCGAGTTCACTGCTATTCCCACCAACCAACTGATCGGCAAGCAGTTCATTCGTCAGCGGCTCGCTTGGATCACATCCTCCAAACATGATGTGAATCCCTCGCGGTCTACGCTTCAATCGATCAATGCCTTCCTCATGCAACGCCCAGATTACTAATACCTGGAAGAAAAAAATTACCTGAAAATCACAATTAATTATGTCTATAAATGGACGAACTACTCGTTCTCG